CGGCAGTCCAGGTGTACTTTACACACCTAACTAACCCATCCGCGGCAGTCCAGGTGTACTTCACACACCTAACTAACCCACCCACGGCAGTCCAGGTGTACTTCACACACCTAACTAACCCACCTGCGGCAGTCCAGGTGTACTTCACACACCTAACTAACCCATCCGCGTCAGTCCAGGTGTACTTTACACACCTAACTAACCCACCCGCGGCAGTCCAGGTGTACTTCCTGTGACATGCTGGCTCCCCAATCTCTATACACGTCCAGCATCCAAGCATGCAGCCTTCCAGGCCGGGCCACAGCTGATTAGGCCGCGCTGTTAACTAATGAGGCAGTGCACAATAGCCGGCACGTGGCCAGTTAGAGAGCGTACAATGGGCCATTACACGGATCACTGCTTGCCCATCAACCTGGGACACATCAAAGGTCAAGTCTTGACCACTATGAAATAATTTCCACTAACAGTAATGTCTGTGTGCAATCATGGTAATTTACAGCATAAGTGGACATTGATCTCCATTAAGCTCCCCGGTTTTGTTCATACTGACAGGTCAGTTCACACACCTGGCCTTGATCACAGCGGTAATTAATATAACGACCAGCATGGATGACATAAGTCACAGCCACAGAGGATGCTGATCCCTGTCATCTCTCACATCTGTAGTCGGGGTGGGGATAGGGGGGGGGGGGGGGGGGGGATAGGGGGGGGGGGGGATAGGGGGGGTGGAGAGGAGCCTTGTGCTTGTTCATCTGACCCTTCTGTCTTGTTTATCTGAACCTTCTGTGCTTCCTAATCTGAACCTTCTGTCTTGTTTATCTGAACCTTCTGAGGTTGTTAATCTGAACCTTCTGTCTTGTTTATCTGAACCTTCTGAGGTCGTTCATCTGAACCTTCTGTGCTTGTTAATCTGAAACTTCTGAGCTTGTTAATCTGAACCTTCTGAGGTAGTTCATCTGAACCTTCTGTCTTGTTAATCTGAACCTTCTGTCTTGTTCATCTGAACCTTCTGTGATTGTTAATCTGAACCTTCTGTGCTTGTTTATCTGAACCTTCTGAGCTTGTTAATCTGAACCTTCTGTCTTGTTCATCTGAACCTTCTGTGATTGTTAATCTGAACCTTCTGTTCTTGTTTATCTGAACCTTCTGAGCTTGTTAATCTGAACCTTCTGTGCTTGTTAATCTGAACCTTCTGAGCTTGTTAATCTGAACCTTCTGAGGTAGTTCATCTGAACCTTCTGTCTTGTTAATCTGAACCTTCTGTCTTGTTAATCTGAACCTCCTGAGCCTGCTAATCTGAACCTTCTGTGATTGTTAATCTGAACCTTCTGTTCTTGTTTATCTGAACCTTCTGAGCTTGTTAATCTGAACCTTCTGTGCTTGTTAATCTGAACCTTCTGAGCTTGTTAATCTGAACCTTCTGAGGTAGTTCATCTGAACCTTCTGTCTTGTTAATCTGAACCTTCTGTCTTGTTAATCTGAACCTCCTGAGCTTGTTAATCTGAACCTCCTGAGCTTGTTAATCTGAACCTCCTGAGCTTGTTAATCTGAACCTTCTGTGTTTGTTAATCTGAACCTCCTGAGCTTGTTAATCTGAACCTCCTGAGCTTGTTAATCTGAACCTCCTGAGCTTGTTAATCTGAACCTTCTGTGCTTGTTAATCTGAACCTCCTGAGCTTGTTAATCTGAACCTCCTGAGCTTGTTAATCTGAACCTTCTGTGCTTGTTAATCAGAACCTTCTGTGCTTGTTAATCTGAACCTCCTGAGCTTGTTAATCTGAACCTCCTGAGCTTGTTAATCTGAACCTTCTGTGCTTGTTAATCTGAACCTCCTGAGCTTGTTAATCTGAACCTTCTGTGCTTGTTAATTTGAACCTCCTGAGCTTGTTAATCTTAACCTTCTGTTGTGTTAATCTGAAACTCCTGTGCTTGTTAATCTGAACCTTCTGAGCTTGTTAATCTGAACCTCCTGAGCCTGCTAATCTGAACCTTCTGAGCTTGTTAATCTGAACCTTCTGTGCTTGTTAATCAGAACCTTCTGTGCTTGTTAATCTGAACCTCCTGAGCTTGTTAATCTGAACCTCCTGAGCTTGTTAATCTGAACCTCCTGAGCTTGTTAATCTGAACCTCCTGAGCTTGTTAATCTGAACCTCCTGAGCTTGTTAATCTGAACCTTCTGTGCTTGTGAATCCAATAGATTTATCGATGAACCAAGACCACATCATATTACACTGATAATTTCTTCCTGTGAAAAACTAATAAAATCCTCCTAAAATCCATCATCTGTGGTTGCTTGGAAAGCCAGCACATGTCTGTATCTGGTGAAAAGCGTTCATCTGTTCCAGCAACATTGGCTTCAATAACAGCATGAGCAATATGACTCCACCGTCTGCCTTATGAGCCCTGGACAACAATGTAAGTTGAAGAAGTCACGACCTGCACATGTGTAGGGCATGTGTTGTCGGTGGTTAGCTTCAATATTAGCCGAGGAGGGATCTGCCTCCGGAGCGGCGTGTTGACGCTGTGACAACACCTCCTCATTGTCCACTCTCCGGTGCCTGTAAATGGGATGTTCATAACATTGGACACGATTCCCACATTTTGTAGCAGGGCAGTGTCAACACGCTCCAGTGTTGCCGCAAAGACTCCTGGTCATATTACCATTCAGTGTATCTTGTTGAGGGAGCGCACTAATCTAAGTTATGGATGGTTTCATTAGACAAATGCCAGCCTGACTTTGTACTCCAGGTGGAATCAGTGCACCGACCCCGGCAGCACAACACGACCCGGCAGCACAACACGTGTGTCAAGCTTATAATCAGCCATTCTCCAGCAGGAGCCTATTCAGATAGAATATCATCATCCTTCAACAATTTCTGAATGTTGCTGATAGTTAGTTTGTCGTGGTTTAAGGATTTCTTTTCACTTGAGGTGATCAACATTTACTTGATCAAATCTTTAGGAATATTTCATTCAACAGCTATTCTGGACATAATTGAAGCTTGGGTCGGCCTTGTTATAGCCATGGTGGGGGACGCTTGTACGAATACATTGATGGAGAAGGGTCAAGGTTGAGTTGTCTGTTAACCTGATGAGCCAGGTCATAAAACCAAGTGTGGCCTGCAGTTAAAATCCTACTCTAAAAAAACAATTGCAACAATCTCCTTCAAATTCCATCATCAGAAAATTGGCAGCAAACTCTTAACCCGATCAATTCTAATGGAGTGTTTATGTAGAAGCATGTTTGTCATGAGGTGTTCTCTGTCGACCAGCTCCACCAAGACTTCCCCTGGCAGGCTGGTCTGACCACACATCAAACTACAGCAGGAGTCACACTTCTCGCGAGGTGAAAACCCAATTACGGACATCCTTGGAGAAAAACGAAACCCATCTTAGAAACCAATCTAAAGATCAAGCATTTTCTAACATGATGAAAATAAATATTGCACAAAAAGTGGTCAATTTAGGTGTTTTATGAAATGGCGAAGCCAGATAAAACAATGCCCGTTACGGCAGCTGTCAGGCAGCGGAGCGTACGTGTAATCAAGTCGGAGGACAGAAAGCCCCATGAAGCACGGCACCGTACAAAGCCCACTCACAGATCTGCCATGTACAAGATTATCAAGACTTGACATGGATTGCAGATGCAAAATGTGGCAATTCTCTCCCTTTAATCTAAAATGACCCAAGGGAAAACTCTGGCAAACTACAAAGACATTATTTAGACAAGAAAAGATGGAAAATGGCTCTTAATTAGTAAACTCGCTATCAAACCAAACAGCCTAGAGATATTGTGACCGGGCGATAGAGAGCTATTTCCTGGTGGGAAAATTGTGCACAAGTGTGCCAGGAGTCTGATCTGTTTGTAGTGATGTGTGTATTGATGTGTGTATTGATGTGTGTAGTGGTGTGTGTATTGACGTGTGTACTGATGTGTGTATTGATGTGTGTATTGTGTGTGTATTGATGTGCATAGTGATGTGTGTACTGATGTGTGTATTGATGTGTGTATTGATGTGTGTATTGATGTGTGTATTGATGTGTGTATTGATGTGTGTATTGATGTGCGTAGTGATGTGCGTAATGATGTGTGTAGTGATGTGCATATTGATGTGCGTATTGATGTTAGTGTTGATGTGTGTATTGATGTGTGTATTGATGTGTGTATTGATGTTAGTGTTGATGTGCATATTGATGTGCGTATTGATGTGTGTATTGATGTGTGTATTGATGTGTGTATTGATGTGTGTATTGATGTGTGTATTGATGTGAGTAGTCATGTGTGTAGTGATGTGTGTATTGATGTGTGTATTGGTGTGTGTATTGATGTGTGTACTGATGTGTGTACTGATGTGTGTATTGATGTGTGTAGGCCATGTGTGTATTGATGTGTGTATTGATGTGTGTAGGCCATGTGTGTAGGCCATGTGTGGGTCTGTGTGTAAGCTGTGTAGAGCCTTAATCACATTGACACACAGATAGAGCCTTCATCACACTGACACAGATAGAGCCTTCATCACACTGACACAGACAGAGCCTTCATCACACTGACACACAAGATATAAACTACACACTCAGCTGCTATTGTGTGACTCTGCCCCTGATTTAGTGACGTGCTGAGAGCATGTATACACCATGCAGGAGACAGCAAGTTTTTCAGGAGGCATACAAACCTCACTACTTTTTATTACCCAAATCAAAATACGCCATGATCACAAACTTCAGGCAAATGAAACTTCCGATCCGTTTAAGATGGAACCAAATTTGGATGGATCAAGGTTTTGATGCCTGGATTTCCTTTTTTGATGACGGGCAAATGATGAAGCCAAGCAAAATAGCGTGTTGATCCGTAGCTGATGACTGTAATTACATCGAAGCCTGTGTGAGATGCAGCCCCACATCACCTCAGTCACACAGAAACTTTTAGCCGAGCGGAACTCAACAATCTTACAAACAGTCGCCTTACGTTTGATCTCTGATGTGTTCTGTGTCTATTTCAGGCCTTGGCCGCAGAGCTTACAAGATGTCCTCCCGCAAGACGTCATGAAGTAACGCCACACTGCACAGCACGGGTTACAGGTAATATCGTGATGATGTTTACTGTCGTGGCAAAGTAGCACGTGTCTCAAGGCATTACATGGATCCCATCCCTTTCATACCCTCCGTTTTAATAATCTACGGTTATTAATAAACAAAATGAATATTTCATGATGCACTTTAAACAGAATGCATTCGAAGTGAAAAGCACAAAATGGCATTCAATCGTGCAGCTCAGCCATACTGATATTAGCATAGGAAAACACACTGGCCTTTTGTGAGAAGCGATCATCTCTTATCTTGTGCATATCAGTCCCATCACTCCCGGAATAAGTACAGAAGCTCCATCTCCTGTGGCCGTAGCCGATGCTGCGGAGGATGGATCAATGAGGTAGCCCGGCAGTGCCATCGGATCAATGAGTCTCACCCCCCACCCCCAGCCAAATATCTCCTTCAAATCTGTTCAAATATCACAATTATGATTTTGTCCAAATACCGATTATCTGACATCTTATAAGCTGCTACATGGAGGCGCTCTCGTCTCCTATTTGGAAACTTTCTGGGTTAATAATGGAGGAGTAGTGAGGTTGTCACAGGGTGAGGTTGTCATCGTGAGGTTGTCACAGGGTGAGGTTGTCATCGTGAGGTAGTCACAAGGTGACGTTGTCACAGGGTTAGGTTCTCATGGTGAGGTTGTCCCAGGGTGAGGTTGTCATCGTGAGGTTGTCATAGAGGGAGGTTGTAACAAGGTGAAGTTGTCACAGGGTGAGGTTGTCATGGTGAGGTTGTCATAGAGGGAGGTTGTAACAAGGTGAAGTTGTCACATGGTGAGGTTGTCACAGGTTTAGGTTGACATGGGGTGAGGTTGTCATAGGGTGAGATTGTCATAGGGTGAGATTGTCATAGGGTGAGATTTTCACGGGGAGAGGGTGTCATGGGGTGAGGTTTCACAGAGTGAGGTCACAGGGTGAGGTTTTCATGGGTGAGGTCATGAGTTGAGGTTGTCAGGGTAAGGTTGTTATGGGGTGAAGTTGTTACATGGTGAGGTTGTCACAGGTTCAGGTTGTCAGGGTGAGGTCGTTACAGGTTGAGGTTATCACAGGGTGAGGTCATGGGGCGAGGTTTCATGGGGTGAGGTCACAGGGTGAGGTCAGGGTGAGGTTGTCATAGGGAGAGGTTGAAAAAAGGTGAGGTTGTCACAGGGTGAGGTTGTCACGTGGTGAGGTATTCATAGGGTGAGCACAGGGTGAGGTTGTCACAGGGTGAGGGTGTCATAGGGTGAGGATGTCACAGGGTGAGGTTGTCACAGGGTGAGGTTGTCATAGGGTGAGCACAGGGTGAGGTTGTCATAGGGAGAGGTTGAAAAAAGGTGAGGTTGTCACAGGGTGAGGTTGTCACATGGTGAGGTTGTCATAGGGTGAGCACAGGGTGAGGTTGTCACATGGTGAGGTTGTCACAGTGTGAGGGTGTCATAGGGTGAGGATGTCACAGGGAGAGGTTGTCACAGGGAGAGGTTGTCACAGGGTGAGGGTGTCATAGGGTGAGGATGTCACAGGGTGAGGTTGTCACAGGGTGAGGTTGTCATAGGGTGAGCACAGGGTGAGGTTGTCACAGGGTGAGGTTGTCACAGGGAGAGGTTGTCACAGGGTGAGGTTGTCACAGGGAGAGGTTGTCACAGGGTGAGGTTGTCACAGGGTGACACCTGAGTCAATGAGCTGGCTCCAAGCTGCATCAGCTTCAGCTACCGTTATTTCACAGAGGTCAGAGGTCAAACATATAAACTCTCTGGAACTGATATTTCCCAGATGAGTTATTCTTGATAAGTAACTATATGAATGGGTTTAAAGTGAATTGCAATACACATCTATCATGATACAGCTGATGCAGTGAGTATCTGGAGGATCTCCCGTCTGAGAGTACAGGGGCAAGGGGGACCCTTCAGGACGCCACTGCATTAATGCGTACCAATCAGCGTGTGTGGTGGAGGGGGAACTTTGACCTCAAACCTGTACATGCAGAACAGTTGATATGGCATGTGTCTTGAACATGCTCATGAATATTCATGAGCCTACTAATGAGTGCATCATACGTCTTGCTCTGACGTGACCTACCTGCCGGTTCCCGCACACGGTATCGATACGTGCCACGCTTCTTGTAGCACCACAAGGTGAAGGTCAGTGCTGCCACGATGATGACACAAATTACGGACAACACAATCGGCCAGAGATCTGCCTCCTCAACCCGAACATCCCTCGTTCCCTGTAGAAGAACAAATAACTTCTGAACAACTTTAACGTTATTAGGATCTGACAACCTATATCCAACAACCCCTGTAGACCCTCTATATACAACAACCCCTGTAGACCCTCTATATACAACATCCCCTGTAGACCCTATACATACAACATTCCCTGTAGATCCCCTATATACAACATCCCCTGTAGACCCTCTATATACAACATCCCCTGTAGACCCTCTATATACAACATCCCCTGTAGACCCTCTATATACAACATCCCCTGTAGACCCCCTGTAAACAACATCCCCTGTAGACCCTCTATATACAACAACCCCTGTAGACCCTCTATATACAACATCCCCTGTAGACCCTCTATATACAACATCCCCTGTAGACCCTCTATATACAACATCCCCTGTAGACCCTCTATATACAACATCCCCTGTAGACCCTCTATATACAACATCCCCTGTAGACCCTCTATATACAACATCCCCTGTAGACCCTCTATATACAACATCCCCTGTAGATCCCCTATATACAACAACCCCTGTAGACCCTCTATATACAACAACCCCTGTAGACCCTCTATATACAACAACCCCTGTAGACCCTCTATATACAACATCCCCTGTAGATCCCCTATATACAACATCCCCTGTAGATCCTCTATATACAACATCCCCTGTAGATCCCCTATATACAACATTCCCTGTAGACCCTCTATATACAACATCCCCTGTAGATCCCCTATATACAACATCCCCTGTAGACCCACTATATACAACATCCCCTGTAGATCCTCTATATACAACATCCCCTGTAGACCCCCTATATACAACATCCCCTGTAGACCCTCTATATACAACATTCCCTGTAGACCCTCTATATACAACATCCCCTGTAGAACCTAGATACAGAATCATCCATAGACCCTGCAGACATCCCCTGTAGACCCTCTATATACAACATCCCCTGTAGACTCTCTATATACAACATCCCCTGTAGACCCTAGATACAGCATCACCCATAGACCCTGCAGACATCCCCTGTAGACCCTAGATACAGCATCACCCATAGACCCTGCAGACATCCCCTGTAGACCCTAGATACAGCATCACCCATAGACCCTGCAGACATCCCCTGTAGACCCTAGATACAGCATCACCCATAGACCCTGCAGACATCCCCTCTAGACCCTAGATACAGCATCACCCATAGACCCTGCAGACATCCCCTGTATACCCTAGATACAGCATCACCCATAGACCCTGCAGACATCCCCTGTAGACCCTAGATACAGCATCACCCATAGACCCTGCAGACATCCCCTGTAGACCCTAGATACAGCATCACCCATAGACCCTGCAGACATCCCCTGTAGACCCTAGATACAGCATCACCCATAGACCCTGCAGACATCCGCTGTAGCAGTATGGCAATGTGAAACTGATTTGAGCAAAGGAGGTGTCTAGTTGGTCAGACATTCATGGTAAGATGTAAATGTGTGGTTGGCTGACATGGTGCCTCAGACTCCAGTGATTGTTAGTGGGCTAACATCTGGTGTATCTCCCACAGAAGGTGATAAACACATTTATACCCTGCCTCAAACAAACACTCATTGAAACCATTCTGCACAGTGTGACGGGTGCATAAACACAAGCAGCAGCACATGCACTGTGCATCCCCCAGCAGAACAATGTCGCACAGTGATCCCCTGAAGATGTGGTGCCAGTACAATGGACCAATTGTTGTGATGCAGAGTTTACAGACCTAGAGTATATTAAATGTTTTGACACAGTAATAATAACTTTCAATGGCGCAATTGTAAACTACTCATCTGTTGAGGTAAATCAAGCAGTGTTGGTTTCCTTGTGCAAGTGAGTGAAGCTAGGACATCAAGAGTTATCTCCCTTCTGCTAACAACACTTCAAGCATGGGAAAAAATAAATGATTTTTTTCTCAGCAATATGAGGTTTGAGCATTCTCATTTACAAGAAGTTTGGACAAGTGATAGCTAACAGCTATAAATGAAGGAGTATTATGTGATATAAAACTTTTTTACAGCAAAACTTTCACAATATTGACAAGAATTGAAAACTTTAAGCTCCTGGAATATGTTTCATCACAAAGCGTCTATGAAGTGCCTCAAATAGATTCTTTATTCCAGCTTACCCTTAATTTTCTCCTTTTCTGTAACACAGCTAGCCCTAACTTAATCTGCCTCTCTAATCCAGTTAATTCTAAACTTCCTCCACTTCTCTAATCCAGTTACTTGTAAATTTAATGTGGTTCTCTTCTAATTCAATTAACCCTAAACTTTCTCCTGTTCCCTCATCCAGTGCAAGAGCAATCAACACTTGGGGATGGATGATATAAGTGGCAATGAAAGTTACAACATAAGTAACAGTGTCAGCGACAATGTAACAATGTCAGCAACAAATTAACAGTGTCAGCGACAAAGTAAAAGTGTCAGCGACAATGTAACAATGTCAGCTACAAAGTAATAGTGTCAGCGACAAAGTAACAGTGTCAGCGATTAAGTAACAATGTAAGCAACAAAGTAACAATGTCAGCAACAAAGTAACAGTGTCAGCAACAATGTAACAATGTCAGCGAGAATGTAACAATGTCAGCGACAAAGTAACAGTGTCAGTGACAAAGTAACAGTGTCAGCGACAATGTAAGTGACAATGTAAGTAACAATGTAACCAACAATGTTAGTCACAATGTAAGTGAAATTGTAAGAGACGATGAAAGTGACAATGTTGGTAACAACGTAAAAGACAATGTAAGTGACAATGTAAGCCACAATGTAAGTGACAATGTAAGTGACTATGTAAGTGACTATGTAAGGGACAATGTAAGGGACAATGTAAGTGACAATGTAAGTGACTATGTAAGTGACTATGTAAGTGACAATGTAAGTGACAATGTAAGTGACAATGTAACCAACAATGTTAGTCACAATGTAAGTGAAATTGTAAGAGACGATGAAAGTGACAATGTTGGTAACAACGTAAAAGACAATGTAAGTGACAATGTAAGCCACAATGTAAGTGACAATGTAAGTGACTATGTAAGTGACAATGTAAGTGACTATGTAAGTGACAATGTAAATGACAATGTAAGCCACAATGTAAAACACAATGTAAGCCACAATGTAAGGCTCAAAGTAAGCCACTAAGTGAGCCACAATGTAAGCCACAATGTAAGCCAAAATGTAAGCCACAATGTAAGCCACAATGTAAGAGAAAATGTAAGTCACAATGTAAGCCACAATGTAAGTCACAATGTAAGCCACAATGTAAGAGACAATGTAAGTCACAATGTATATCACAATGTAAGTCACAATGTAAGCCACAATGTAAGTCACAATGTAAGCCACAATGTAAGTCACAGTATAAGCCACAATGAAAGAGAAAATGTAAGAGACAATGTAAGCCACAAAGTAAGCCACAATGTAAGCCACAATGTAAGAGAAAATGTAAGTGACAATGTAAGTGACAATAAAGCCACAATGTAAGAGAAAATGTAAGCCACAATGTAAGCCACAATGTAAGAGAAAATGTAAGTGACAATGTAAGTGGCAATGTAAGTGGCAATGTAAGCCACAATGTAAGAGAAAATGTAAGTGACAATGTAAGCCACAATGTAAGCCACAATGTAAGAGAAAATGTAAGTGACAATGTAAGTGACAATGTAAGCCACAATGTAAGAGAAAATGTAAGTGACAATGTAAGTGACAATGTAAGCCACAATGTAAGCCACAATGTAAGAGAAAATGTAAGCCACAATGTAAGCCACAATGTAAGAGACAATGTAAGAGACAATGTAAGTGACAATGTAAGAAAGTAAGCCACCTAAGCCTATCCCACTTGCTGACCCCATCGCCATCTCACCTCACCTCACCTCACCATGCCAACTTCCCCTCCACCTCACCTCACTGCTAAAACATACATACAATGTATAGTTTGATGTTGACCTGGTCCTTCAGAGAGGTCACAGTGTGTGAAAGCACCACTTGGTCCTGGAGTCTGGGGGTCTGGAGACGAAAGGACACCCTTGCTTCATCCTCTGCATCTTCTTGAAAGACAACCATCACCTGCAACAATCATTGTCCTGTTACACACAACCATCACCTGCAACAATCACTGTCCTGTTACACACAACCATCACCTGCAACAATCACTGTCCTGTTACACACAACCATCACCTGCAACAATCACTGTCCTGTTACACACAACCATCACCTGCAACAATCACTGTCCTGCTACACACAACCATCACCTGCAACAATCACTGTCCTGCTACACACAACCATCACCTGCAACAATCACTGTCCTGTTACACACAACCATCACCTGCAACAATCACTGTCCTGTTACACACAACCATCACCTGCAACAATCACTGTCCTGTTACACACAACCATCACCTGCAACAATCACTGTCCTGCTACACACAACCATCACCTGCAACAATCATTGTCCTGCTACACACAACCATCACCTGCAACAATCACTGTCCTGTTACACACAACCATCACCTGCAACAATCACTGTCCTGTTACACACAACCATCACCTGCAACAATCACTGTCCTGTTACACACAACCATCACCTGCAACAATCACTGTCCTGTTACACACAACCATCACCTGCAACAATCACTGTCCTGTTACACATAACCATCACCTGCAACAATCACTGTCCTGTTACACACAACCATCACCTGCAACAATCATTGTCCTGTTACACACAACCATCACCTGCAACAATCACTGTCCTGTTACACACAACCATCACCTGCAACAATCACTGTCCTGTTACACACAACCATCACCTGCAACAATCACTGTCCTGTTACACACAACCATCACCTGCAACAATCACTGTCCTGTTACACACAACCATCACCTGCAACAATCACTGTCCTGTTACACACAACCATCACCTGCAACAATCACTGTCCTGCTACACACAACCATCACCTGCAACAATCATTGTCCTGCTACACACAACCATCACCTGCAACAATCACTGTCCTGTTACACACAACCATCACCTGCAACAATCACTGTCCTGTTACACACAACCATCACCTGCAACAATCACTGTCCTGTTACACACAACCATCACCTGCAACAATCACTGTCCTGTTACACACAACCATCACCTGCAACAATCACTGTCCTGTTACACACAACCATCACCTGCAACAATCACTGTCCTGTTACACACAACCATCACCTGCAACAATCACTGTCCTGTTACTACAATGTAACACTCTGCTGTGTGACACTCTACAATGTGACACTCTGCTGTGTGTCATTCTACAATGTGACGCTCTGCTATGTGACATTCTACAATGTGACACTCTGCTGTGTGACACTCTACAATGTGACTCTCTGCTGTGTGACGCTCTACAATGTGGCACTCTACAATGTGACACACTGCTGTGTGACACCCTTCAATGAGACGCTCTGCTATGTGACATTCTACAATGTGACACTCTGCTGTGTGACACTCTACTATGTGACACTGTGCTGTGTGACCCTCTACAATGTGACCCTCTGCTCTGTGACATTCTACAATGTGACACTCTGCTGTGTGACACTCTACTATGTGACACTGTGCTGTGTGACACTCTACAATGTGACACTTCTGTGTGACGCTCTACAATGTGACACTGCTGTGTGACACCCTACAATGTGACACTGCTGTGTGACACTACAATGTGACTCTCTGCTGTGTGACTCTTCAATGTGACACTCTGCTATGTGACACTCTACAATGTGACACTGTGTTGTGTGACATTCTACAATGTGACTCTCTGCTGTGTGACATTCTACAATGTGACACTCTGCTGTGTGACATTCTACAATGTGACACTCTGCTGTGTGACACTCTACAATGTGACTCTCTGCTGTGTGACGCTCTACAATGTGGCACTCTACAATGTGACACACTGCTGTGTGACACCCTTCAATGAGACGCTCTGCTATGTGACATTCTACAATGTGACTCTCTGCTGTGTGACACTCTACTATGTGACACTGTGCTGTGTGACCCTCTACAATGTGACCCTCTGCTCTGTGACATTCTACAATGTGACACTCTGCTGTGTGACACTCTACTATGTGACACTGTGCTGTGTGACATTCTACAATGTGACACTTCTGTGTGACGCTCTACAATGTGACACTGCTGTGTGACACCCTACAATGTGACACTGCTGTGTGACACTACAATGTGACTCTCTGCTGTGTGACTCTTCAATGTGACACTCTGCTATGTGACACTCTACAATGTGACACTGTGTTGTGTGACATTCTACAATGTGACTCTCTGCTGTGTGACATTCTACAATGTGACACTCTGCTGTGTGACATTCTAGTATGTGACACTCTGCTGTGTGACATTCTAGTATGTGACACTACTGTGACACTCTACTCTGTGACACTCTACTATGTGACACTCTACAATGTGACACTGTGTTGTGTGACATTCTACAATGTGACTCTCTGCTGTGTGACATTCTACAATGTGACACTCTGCTGTGTGACATTCTAGTATGTGACACTACTGTGACACTCTACTCTGTGACACTCTACTCTGTGACACTCTACTATGTGACACTCTATGTGACACTCTTCCATGTGGCACTGCTGTTTGCCACTCTGCCACTCTGCCACTGACACTGTGTCTGACACTGTGCACTGTATTGTGCAGGAATATATCAGCAGCCACGTTTTGAGACGTGCGACAAATGGACGATTAAGATGCTCCCTAGGGACATAAACTTGGCATCAAGGTGTCTGGTGGCAGTTTATAGGACCAGTACAACTTCTATAATAAAAGCCTTTTCCACTTAAACACAGACAATAATATGCTTCAAGTGTCTGTACACAATGATAAAGCTGAAATTAGAGCTAAGTGATAAAATCTCCTCCTTGGTCTGCACGCTGCCTTGGCTTGATGGCAGTGGAGTATTCAGGACTAAGACTCTCCCGGCTTAGTGTCTCACCAGGACAGACTAATTGCCATTTGACAACCAGTAATATCACACCAAATCTGACTATTAAATGTCACTCAATACAATAAACCATCATTAGAGCCATAATTGCCTGGAACATCCACAAACTGTCTGCTCATCCCCCTGTCTACAACCACCTCTTGAAAATCACCTCTCGACGACAACCTCTCACAACCACCTCTCAATAACCACCTGTCTACAACCACCTCTTGAAAATCACCTCTCGACGACAACCTCTCACAACCACCTCTCAATAACCACCTGTCTACAACCACCTCTCTACAACCACCTGTCACAACCACCTGTCACAACCACCTCTTAATAACCACCTGTCTACAACCAACTCTTGTAAATCACCTCTCGACGACAACCTCTCACAACCACCTCTTAATAACCACCTGTCTACAACCAACTCTTGTAAATCACCTCTCGACGACAACCTCTCACAACCACCTCTTAATAACCACCTGTCTACAACCAACTCTTGTAAATCACCTCTCGACGACAACCTCTCACAACCATCTCTTAATAACCACCTGTCTACAACCACCTCTCTACAACCACCTGTCACAACCACCTGTCACAACCAACTCTCCACACCACCTCTCTGCAACCACCCGTCACCCAACTCTCAACAACCACCTCTCCACAACCACCTCTCCACAACCATCTCTCAACAACCACCTCGCTACAACCACATGTCACAACCCTCACTCGATAACCACCTGTCACAACCATCTTTCTGCAACCACCTCTCTACAACCAACTCTCTACAACCACCTTGCTTCAACCACCTCTCTACAACCAACTCTCGACAACCAACTCTCGACAACCAACTCTCGACAACCACCTCTCTACAACCAACTCTCTACAGCCAACTCTCAACAACCAACTCTCTACAACCACCTCTCTACAACCACCTCTCTACAACAACCTCTCTACAACAACCCGTCACCCAACTCTTGACAATCACCTCTTCACAACCACCACCCTACAACCACCTGTCTTCAATCACCTGTCTACAATCACCTGTCACAACCACCTTTTTTCAACCACATCGCTTCAACCACCTCTCTATAACCAACTCTCAACAACCACCTCGCTACAACCACCTGTCTTCAACCACCTCGCTACAACCACCTGTCTTCAACCACCTCGCTACAACCACCTGTCTTCAACCACCTCGCTACAACCACCTGTCTTCAACCACCTGTCTTCAACCACCTCGCTACAACCACCTGTCTACAATCACCTGTCACAACCACCTTTTTTCAACCACATCGCTTCAACCACCTCTCTATTACCAACTCTCAACAACCACCTCTCTACAACCACCTGTCTACAACCACCTCGCTTCAACCACCTCTCTATAACCAACTCTCAACAACCACCTCTCTACAACCAACTCTCAACAACCACCTCACTACAACCACCTCGCTACACCCACCTGTCTTCAACCACCTGTCACAACCAACTCTCGACAACCAACTCACTACAACCAACTCACTACAACCACCTCTCAACAACCACCTCTCAACAACCACCTGTCTACAACCACTTCGCTTCAACCACCTCGCTTCAACCACCTCACTTCAACCACCTCTCTACAAACACATACCATTTCCATGACAACCTACTTCCACAACAAGGACATGTATAGTTTCGACTGCGTGCAAGACATCAACTTGGAGGTAATCACGACCAAGAAGGAACAACTTTCCCCATCACTTCCCTGACATCCCAGTACCTGTTCTATCTTCCCTCCACTAGCGCCTCTGTGAATCGTTACAGGTATTGATCTGCCTTACCAACCCAAGACAGCTTCTGCTCAAACACCTTTGGCTGAGATTTTTTCTACCCAATAACATTTCTGGAATACATGCTCTTGAAGTCTGGAGGGACATGTCAATGCATCCTTAAAAAGTGAGGAGGAATTTGTCTGATTCAAACAAGAGCAAAGCCCATCACTAAAGCAGCAGACATTTCAATTACATTGGTGTCCATGGTTTCCTCGGGAATAACAGCCCCAAGGGATATCATGAAGTTACTTCTTTTAGTTAAAAAAGA